GCTAAAGTTGGCCAACGCAAATTGCCGCTTAGGGAAGAGACAGTCCACCACATCATCTTATGCCGACGCCGCAAGGCCAGATGTTCATTACTGACGCAACGAATCAGCGCACAGTCATCGCATTTATCGATTTTTTCTGTACATTTAAATTTTAAGGTAGAACTTTGTGCACACACAAACTACTTCTGCTACTGTTCTGTGAGTATGTCTCTGATAATGGATCTGCGACGGATTTCGAAACATCAGGCGATCGAATCGTCTTCTATTTCTCAACGCCAAGTTTGCAACTACTTACTTTCACTGGGTAGTTGGAACTGCTGTGCTTAAACTATCCATGAACTTTTCATGGTATATGAGATAACTTAGTACTCAAAGGGTAAGGGTGGGAATAAAATTAGACATCTCGCACACACTTCATTGGGATACTACTGCATAAACTGGGAATTCATACCTACCCTCTCGTTCGAATTTGACTAAATGCTTGCTGTCTTTCCAGCCGTTGGGCCCGTTTATATAGGTAAATTCTAGATGCATTTTGATATAGTCTAAGAAAAATAACCTTGGTCCTTACTGGTTGATAGCGAAGAAAATCGCATGCGAAATCCATTCTAAGTTCGCATTCAGGGTGTACATATCTGATGTAAGAAAAATCGAGTTATGACTGAACAGTTTGTTTATTGAGACGCCCTCAAACGCAAGTTTGATATAAATCACCTTCGTTTTCATTGCCCTTAGAATTCTCATAAACTTCTAACTAACTTTGGCAGGGCACTCGTTTCCTATTAAACAAGTATTCGGAAAGGGGTGCTGTAGTGTATTTACAGAGGACTTAAAACTCCAATTGCTGCCCCAACCAACTAAAGTGAACAAATTGGATTCGGGACTGGGTGTCCCGCTTTGCGCTAAATTTTACATGTATTTATTCAGGTGTCCTTACATGAACCCCGAGCACTAATACTTGCCCCCTGGGAAAAAAGTACTCGTAGAATGGGCTGCAGCTACTCCCTTCTCCTACCTTGGCAAACATCTGGAATCGGAAAGTTGTGCATGAGGGTTCGTTCGGAATCGCCAGATCTTAGCGCTAGTCGTTGATCGGGGTCATCAAATTGTAGCACCAGTCACCAATCACCAAACTTCACGACT